GAAGATGTCAGATTGGATCTAATTTTTGAATAAACGTACAATTTCTGTTTCAACTTAGTGGTTAAGACTAGTACATGATGTATATTACAAAGATCTGTTACCTATGAAATAGTTTATTTTGCTGCATTTAATAGTGAATACAACATACAGAACCCTATAAAAGTAGTGATAATTAAACATTATCAAAAACAAAAATAACACATTCTGCCTCCTATTAGACACAAATAATATTTTGACATCTCTGACTTGARAAATTTTTAAACCAGTTTTATTTTCACTTTCYTCATTTTATTTTCAACTACTTGTAGTTTTAACTGTCTTGAGTGTGCACAGAAATATTTTTACCAGRTTCTAGACAAGATTCTGARGTTTCTGTAGACACCAAACAMGTCTATGTTTYACTAAAAGAACTTGGATAAATTAAAGTAGAAAACCGGGAGTTTGGGCTTAAGAYATGAATGAACCAATTGYCGGGCKYAACTTTGGTCACTCGCYGGCCGGATGTGGCCTGCYGGCCGCCAGTTGAKTAGCCCTGCTTTAAGCTACTTAGTCCCAATATTTTTAGCCTTTACTGTTCCACTCAGTTTAGATTTTAGCTTTTGTTTAGCTCATTTCAGCTTTCTGCTATTGTTTTTGACAGTTTTGGCTTCAAGCTACTTAGTCCATTTGTTTTAGCTTCTAGCTACTCTTCTGCTAATTTTAACCTTTAACTTTAGACGTTAGCTATTATTTTTGCTGTTTTCAGCTTTTGAATTCTGTTTAGATGATTTAAAGTTTTGCACTAATTTTAGATATTTTTTCTTCTTCCTAATTTTAGCTTTCAGCTTGTGTTTCAATAATTTTAGATTTAGCATTTAGACTGTTTTTTTTTTGTTTTTAACTAACATTATACTATTTTTAATTTGAAGCATTGTTTTTTCCAGTCTTAGCTTTTAGCTGTTTTGCAAACTTTAGCTTTTAACTTTTATCAGATTTGTTTATTTTTTCTTTTTCTGTTTTGAATTTCAGCTTCACAAGCAAARCTTATCAAATTAATTCAGGAGGATGATAAATACTTTGGTTTGATAAAGAAAGTTGGTATTATTGTATTTTGGTAATAAAGTGCCTGTTTACCGTTGCTTCCTACTTTTGAAATTAAAGTCAAGAATAAAGTCAAAATGCTGTATCAAAGTCAAAATATCCCTGCAGACAAATTRACATWTTAAGGAAAATTCTTGTAAAATTTSAAAACTAAAGTTAATATGACGAGAGTAAAGCTTCTGTTTTGAAGTTAGAAAGGAACAAATAACAGAACCATGATTGATGCAAAGACCAGTGTTCACTTCTTSTTTTAATCAAAAGGATTTTTTAGAAAACATATTGTGACTCATATTTATAGAACCTGTAAATAACTTGTAAATACTACAAGCTGCAGTGGCTGCAGAACAGGCTTACATCATCAGATCTCCACCAGCATAACAAAACTTAGCAAAAAACAAATTTATACTATTGGAAATCATTTTTGTCCTCACTGAAGAGCAACACACAACACTTAGCACACACACACACACACACACACACACACACACACACACACACACACACACACACACACACACACACACACACGTCTCAGAGTGTACCTGTGTGACACCTGTGTGTGTGATGAATTGAAACAGCCCACAGTATGTTCACATTCTGTAACACAGTGACTGAACTGAGATTTTATTGTTTTAAAAAGGATTTCATGTTAAAGTGTTTTGTTTTGTATTTGGGAACAAGTATGAGAATATGAGCAAAGTTCATAACAGAAATAGTTATTGTTAAAGTTAAATACAGTAACAACTAGGCCTGTCYCGATAYTCAATAAATCAATTAATTGCACGATAAGTTATTTTGAGGTCGGTAAAAAAAATGAGGACGATAAGTTTCATTTTCCTGCTTGTTTGTTTACTTCGTCTCTCTCCCTCTCTGTGCTCCGCTACACAGGAGCTCAGCTGACTCCTCCCCTCCTGTTTTCTTAGTGTCGGGAGGAGTGAACTGTCACGTTAGCATGTGAGCTCTTAACAATAACAAACTAAAGAAACGTTTCAAAGCTGAACGTGGCTGCTGCAGTGTCGGAGCAATGAAATGAAGCAAACTACACAGCCTGGTGAGGACCCACTGTTTCTTATGGGGACATAAGCCCAGTTCACATCCCATGTAAAGNTATTTTTTATTGAATTTTTCCAAATTGACATGCAAACATTAACATAATAGATCAGATTTTTACCCATCACCCACCCGCACAAATCGGCACATCAGAAAACACTTACATAGTCAAGACAATATGATGAATACACCACAAATTGATCCAAATCATTCAACAGGCATAGAATAAAAAGGACGGTTATACACGTTGCTAAACACTGTCATTAACAGTCTTTTTTTTGAAGGAATTTTAGTACAGGGCCCCATATTTTTTCAAACACACCGATTCTATCTTCATTGCAATATCTCAATCTTTCCAGATGTAAAGTATTTGCTAGTTCCCCCAACCATAGATCAAATGTGGGCACAGAGTCCTTTTTCCAAAGTCTCAAAATCAACTTTTTAGCAATCACTGTACCAAACAAGACAGCAATTTTCTCATATTTAGTGGCTAACTGCATAACACTAGAGACCCCAATGATGGCGATAAGTGGTTCTGGGTCCCATTGTTTTCCAAAAGCTGTCGAAAAAAAGTGAAAAATATTCTCCCAAAATGAGCGAAGCTGAACACATGACCAAAAGGAGTGTGTCAAGTCAGCAATAGCAGCTTGACAACGATTACAAATTGGAGACATGCTTGTAANCTGGTTTAAACCAGGCTATGGCTAAATAGTTATTGATATTTATCATTAAACTGTTTAAAAACCTTTTATAACAAACACTGGGATATTAACAAACCCAACATTTGAACCCAGATATTTATTCATTGTTTATGTTTGTCCTGTTCTTCTCAGCACTTTCATGTGAAGTTGGTGCTTTGGCTACTCATCTCAAAATAAAGGGATTTCCACCAAAAGATAACAGAGCGACGGCCGGACAAAAGCTGAAGTTTTTCTGCCCAGAAGCTTATGATGTAGAGGGTTCTGAAGAAACTGAGTGTTTAGAAACTGGACAGTGGAGGGACCCCTTCCCAACCTGCTCTGGTATGTTCTCTGTATTTTAACTGCAGCTTTTATTAACATTTATTTAGCATGTTTGTGTTAAATAACAACTCAAGGTAACGGTTTTTATAGTTTATATAGTCTAACTTCAAATTTACATTTAGACAATATTTTCTTTCACAGATGTGTGGAACAAAACTCATGTAAAGGTTGTACTTTTATGGAGCAACTTTAGAGAAAGTTGTATTTCTGGTCAACATCGTGGTACATTTACTCTGTGGTATTACTGCCTCAGGCTGCAGTTTTTACAACACAATAATATTTCTACATTTCTCCAAGTCATCTTTCAGTGAATCTGCTGTATTTCTTCAGTAAATTTTATTAATCTGAGGTGCAAAAATGCAAGCATTGATTTGCTGATATTACTGTTATTGATCTGTGATTTGAACCAAATTTTGCATCACGCTTTACTGTGTTAGACATACTACTGTATGGTTTACTTGACAGTAAAACATTCTTTGTTTTTCTTAACAGAAAAATGCAGTACTCCTGAGATGCCAGATGGTCTACTCCTCACCCAGTCAGGAGTTTTTTACTGGAGTAAAGGAGAAAGTGTAACATTTAAATGTCGTGGACGTGGATACTTCATTGAAGGGAACGAGAAAATGGAATGTTTGGGAAACGGACAATGGAGTGGCGTCCTTTCAACATGTGAAAGTAAATCTTCTCGTGTTCCTTTGTGTCTCTGATTTAACGTGTCTCCATAAAAC